ATCCTCCATGAAAGGTGTAGGATGCGCGACTATAAATACGCTCATCACCACTCCTCCCCAGGCAAATTAAATAACGACTTGACTTGGTTGACCGGCGAATCGACCTCTGCAGACCACAAGGAGAGGTGGTTGAGGTCATGCTGAAGTATGTTGCAAACGTCTGGAGTATCAAATCTTCAGGTTGTACGCAAACAGATAACAAGGCGACCGAACAAGTCGAGTTAGACCGTTGATGTAAATCGAGAACACAATGGACACCTTGGGTTTCATCCAATTTGGTGCCTGTCTGACACCCTGTAATCGCTACATCAATAAAAGTATAGGTGCGCCATGGTGACGAGGTTGATTTTCTGCTTGAAATTCAAAACTGCATCTCTGCTCTTGAGGAACTTAGTTCAATGAAAACCGGATTACTACGCTTTGGTACTACATACGACCAAGTCCCGTCCCTCTGTGAATCACATAAAAGATTAAAAAGACGTGAAATCAAGTATACGACATGCGCGATTGGTTCTCTTGTATCTGTAGTCACAGGTGAGAGTCGGGAACGTGTACGCGGATTAGACAGCACGATTGTGTTGAACATATCCGAGAGATTGGATATAGAAAAGTCAAAAATATGTTGTTCGCAGCAAGAAATCACGGGCGGCTCTAACTGCCTGTCTCAGGCTCAAAAAGGTGACAATGAGACTATGCCCCAGATGAGGCAGCGGCTGAGTGTTTTGTACATAACAAACGGTTCATTGCTGCACAATCTGACTTTGACATTCCGCTCAGAGGCGAATACAAATGCCACTAAAAAGGCAGTTTGCACGTTCAGACCCTCAAAATTCATGTGTAAGAACTTTGAGCCTCAAATAATCACCGGTAACGCCTCTATCTAAAGACATTCACTAGCACTGACAGTGGTATCCCACAACATTCGTCTACTGATATTGGTATTTGGAAGTATAAAAGGTAATTCATGTTTCAATAGTTATGAGTCCACCAACCCACCCATGAGGTATCATTGCACGATATTGTTGACCCGATCTGGCCATAACATATTGGGCATATGCATAAAGTCATTACGGATGCAAATCCCGCGGAAGTTAGTGTCTTCTCATGTAAGTCTTCCACAAGCAACGAGCCCGTAAAACATGTGGTGTGTCTCGTATAGTCAGAAATAAACCTTTATTTATTTAATAGGGATCAAACAATAAACTATGAAATCCAGGATATCGGAAATTCGAATGGACCACCACTAAATAAATATCGAAACAACCAACCCTGGTCCAAACTAGAAACAGATGCCACCGCAGAGAGCACCGCAGTCCCAGAATACTTCATGGGAATACACAGCAGCCGATAACACTTAAATAACCACCAACACGATATGAGAAACGCCCAGTAAGTAAGCTGATGAAAATTGCATGTTGTACTTCTGCATACGATATGGAAACCGACTCTGCGGTCAATAATAGTAACCGGACCAACTATCTAACACCCCAAAGGATCCTACTACCTACCTCTCTGGCTCAGAGATGACAATATTCAAACTCCATTAAGGTGGCATCTCATGGCAGAGCTGGAGAAACGTATGGGAAAATACACCATCAATCGCATACTCTGTTCGGGACTTGAGTATTCAGTAGTTTATCAGCTTTGAGGTCTCCAAACACATCCTACATCGAGTGGCAAAAGCGAGACGAGTAACGAGCTACATCACCTGGACATTTTCACTATTCGAAACATGGTATTACAATATTCGAATTTATAGTTCGGCCCACAATGAAGTGCTGCACTATCATACATAGTCAACCAACGCAAGACAAACTGAACTGCCTTGGAAAAGTCCAGCGCTTATTTACTAAAATGATCACGGGGCGCTCATCAATGCTTACCTATGAGGAACGATGTTCTTATCTCTAGCTTGAGCTACCATGGCTCAGATGACTAAACAACCTCATTGTTCTCCAAAGCACAATATACATGCAAGTATAGTCGTTGTTTTATAAAATGGTTGGTAATGAGAAACACCTACCATACTTATTGCGGACCAGGCAAAATGCTCGTTTAACTTTCCTCCTGGTAACGTAGGCCCACCCGTGGAACAAGCTACCGTTGTCAGTAAGGACCAGCAAGAGCCCGGATATATTTGGATAACATTTCCATACCAAATGTGGTCAAACTTGTCGGTGTTCAGTAATCTACGGCTGTACTCATGGAATCCGACCCGAATATGCTAAGACCAACTTTCCAATAAGCTGTTACTTAGTACCAATCCCACAAATCACCTCATAACTGAACCATATTCAACACAAGTTCATAAATGAAATGCTGAGGAAATTCGCGCTTATTTATTTATTTATAAGCTACCTGCTCGGCCATCCGGTGAACTGTGATTCGCTCGAAAGCAACTCACGACAGAAAGGCGACCATCGATTTCGACGGGGAAAGAGAATGCATGTAGTTTTAGATAAATGCACTCGATCGGCAGGTGACTGATAAAGGATGAAGATCCGCAGGCGGTTTGACGTCACGTCATCAAAAATAAAGATCTGGAGAGTATAAAGCGTGAGTCTCATTATGGGATAGAAGACGAACCTACCTCACAGACAGGCTGGGTGAGTCTAGCAACAAAAGACTGTATTAAATTGTAAAGCACACAATTTTTAACCAGCCAATAACAAATTGAATGTAAATTAGCCGCGTGAGGTGACACGAATCTATTTTTTCAGGTAAAATGTTACTGTTTAACAAGAGAGGAAGAGGCCAGCAACAGCTCCAAACAGGCTATCACAATGGGCGGTACTTGTTGCTCAGGCGTAGCAGCGAATCAGATGTTGAAAAATATGGCGACTTATTGAGTTTGTTTTGCGATAGCTGGCACAGAAAAATGCGGGCGCGAGTGTAAGTCCCTCGCTCTCGAAAAGACATTCTTTGTAAAACACACAGGGAGCTAAATAGGAAACTACCCATGGAGAATGTTGTATTACGGGAGAATATCAAACGGACGGTTACAATTATATGCATCATTCATACTGAACTACTAAGCAATTATCGACCGTGAAACTGATCGACACGACGAAAAGTGGTCAAATAACAAAGCATCAAAAGAAATCGATCGTTATTAAGCTGATGCCCAAAGCTGACGTGTTAAGGAATGACAGTTAGAAACGGATAAACATCTCATTGAAAAGAGCATACGATGCGGTTGAATCAGGGTTGTTTGAGTCGACGAACGCATTGCATAAGTGTCCGGTGAAGACAGCGAATTAAGGCAGTGCAGGTCTTGTGGTCTTTACAAAGTCAGCTGGAGTTATGGAAACAGCTATGTTGAACGCACAGATTGAAGTTTGGGTGTCCGAATTGATAAACTATTTGAAAGTTGATTTCACAAAGAAACAGAGCATTTCACGGTTGAACCAGGTGAAATGAAAAGCAAGGCTGCTTCAGTTATACCGAAGGAATTTACAGAACATTGGTTGGCAAGTCAACCTCGCTGCATTCTTCACGATCGTCATGCGCAATAGAGTTCGTTGAGGTCGCGAACGGCCGCTGGTCTGTGTGCAAACAGCTGACGGTGATCCTGAAAGTACCGTGATAACACTGTGTGCCAATTGACCCCAAATGGCCGGAAAAGGTCACTTGAGCCTGCCACCACCTGCGTCATGGATGAGAATGCCATCACAAATGTAGTCTTCTGATATGCATATTTGTGATTAAGACAAGAGTTCCATGTTTCTTGGTACAACTTAGCTGGTGGACTTGACCAAGCATACCTGGCGGCCTATGGGAGCCAAATGGTTCCCTAGTTTTGATTTACGCCTCCTCTATCCACGCCGCGACGATGAAGTACGCGAAAAGATCAAACGACCTGTGAACATGTGAAGTTTGGAAAGCAATCTGATCTCGTCGCATATATATATATATATATATATATATATATATATATATATATATATATAAACGCAGTCAATAGTACAATTGGCCTCGTGCCACAACATATGGGAAATACATTAAACAAATGAAAAGAGAAAAAGAATGTAAAACGGTGTTCATAGGAGTAGTGTGTGACATGTTCGCCAGTGCGTACGGTTTCTTGCCATATCCGAGAGGGTTTTTAGCCAATCGGGATCGTGATCCTTGCACCCCCAGCCAGTGAGGTGATAGCGCCCGATCACGGTTAACTTTGAGGTTAGCGTCTTCATACTTCTGACCCAGGTCCTACGTTGGCCACCTTGCTTTCGATTCCAATGGAATTCTGTGTGCGCGAAGAGAGCACAACGAGGTAAACGATGGTTAGGCATGCTAAGAACATGCCCAAGCCACCGAAGTCTGCGCAGTGAAAATGTGCTGCTCACTGGCCGCCAAAGTCTGTCTGGAAATCCCCATTACAAGTGTGATGTTGCCATCGTACACCAGCAATGCTTCGAAGGCATCGGTGATCAAAAACAGACAAAACAAACAAAAAAATCAGACAACCTTAGTGCGAACAGGCCACCTCGCAGCCACAGAACAGGAGCGCTCTCATTGTGGCATCGTAAACTCGACCCTTTAGAGAGTGACTCAGATCGTCAAGATAGTTTAAACACGACTCGTCACTAGCCTATGATAAATTGCTTGTGTGTCAGATGAGTCCGAAAAAAACAGCCTCTTGCTCGCTCCTGGGAACGAATGGAAAACCAAGCCAATGTTCGCTTTTGAATTTCGCTGATGGAAAAATTAACTTAAAGCGCGAGCATGGAGTCAGACAAAGGCATTCTCAGTAGCGTCTGCGAAACAAGTCTGCGTCGCATCCATCCGACTAGATTTGGTGTAGAACAATTGATATGGCTTATGGCTGCCTGGTAAACCAAAGCGAAAGTCAACTTACTAAATAGTACTGCGGAACAATCAATCATAAACTAGGACTGTGAGGAGAAACAAACTGCTCAGAAAGAAAATAAAATACTGATAAAATGAACACGCCTTTGACAATGTGCATGGAGTTCAAAAGAGTAACAACAGCGACGTACCATGTGGTCCCGTTTCGTCACTTGTGGGTTCGCGGTAACTGTGTCGGGGATATCTGTGGATGAGATCGTGGATAACAGTGTCTTTTGTTCTTGATAAAGAGAAACAGTGATCAAGCGAGAAAGATCCATCTCATACAGGGGCAGCGTGTATGAATGCTCAAAATTTTAGATACTAATTCCAAAAGTTATCCCAAACAGTACAACGATGTCAAGTAATTTGAAAGATAAGGTAAGCAATTGAAAACGAAGTGCTTCAACCAGACGGAGACGGTTCATCAATTCGTGAAATAGAGGCAAATCAGTAAGACCTAGTGAAAACGCAAACATAAGAAAAATGGAATACTGTGACAGTTTTAGTAAAGTTTAAGATTTAAAGTAGAGATTAAACCTTGTTATATAACGAGTTCAGGATGCATCATAAGATGCCACCGCCTTACTGATCATGGGATATAACAGGTAATGGGGACCACTAGAGAACAAGCTCAATTAAAATTCGTAATACGGGAAAACAATGGATATACACGTGAGAGCGCGTGAACATCACAGATTACGGAACCAGTGATTGCAACAGTGAGGATTTCAAAGATCACCCCATTAGCTAAATGATGATCTTTTGTCTGATTTCATGAATTTGCCGTAAGAATCCCTTGTGGTAAAATTATGCCGGCGCGAAGAAGCACGAAGGTTGTGCACATTCACGTGACATACGCTACGCTGAGGTCACTTGAAATTCATCAGCTGGATGAATGCAACGGATGCAGCAAATGAGCGATGCGCGCAACAAAGGAGAGAAGTAGACAGAGTGAATTGAAATCGATCAGCGCGCTAGATTGGGTCACTTCTGATGGGGAAACAAAAAGGAAGCAGCAATTAACCAAGCGCATTCCCCCATTCAGACTGATGTCTAGCAAAATCTCGTGTTCATTCAGCTTCAGACTGCCCGAAGAAGTAATTATACGATGGAATAATCGAGACCACAGTTGAGAATGCACCGTAGACTGCATGGGATGAGGAAAGTGAGGATGCCGTGATGTCTGTAGCAAAGAGAAGGACCATGGATCAATTTAGCGGTTAAAACCGATGTCTACGACCATAAAATCGCTACATACAATGGAAGGTGACAAGAATGAGGCTTTATATAAATAGGGGGTGGGCGGGAGAAACGCCTGATCCAGCAAAGTGGCGATTTGTCATAAAGAACAGCAATGATGCCAGATTGAGCTAGATAGATGATAAAGGACTACTAGCAGGATGATAGAAGTTGAATTCATATGTTATGACTAGCCATGACAACTAGCAACTTTATGCGCGATGGGTGATGGAGATCTGGACTCTGACGGATGAATAGACTTGAGACAAACTGCAAAAACCAAAAAGAAACAGGAGATTTTAAAAACGTTAGGAAAGAAATATTAAGGGGAATCAAGTGCAGATGCTTAAGCAACGCTGCGAATTCTCCTCACATCGGAGAACTCACAATGGGCTAATCCACAAAGGAGGAAGCACTGCGCGGATACAGGGCGGTTCTTTTCTTAATTCAGAGCAACGACAAATAAATTTTGGCAAGCGGACAAGGAGATAAAATGTTTGAAATCCGAGAAAGAGAACATAGGGACAATATAACCATTGAGGTAAAATACATGCAGTTACAAACATTAGAATGAAAGCACAGACAATGGGAAATTTTTTTAGTCTGATGGCGTTAAGTGACAGCCTTTCAGCTTTATGAAAAATTTCAAGAATATGAGGTAGGAAAACCCTGAGAGGTAGAGGAACGAGATATGTTTCTGTCAATCAACATTCTTGGGATGAGAGGTATGTGCAATGGACTGCGGTCTGTTTGGATTTTTTTTAAAAACAGTACGTTACGTCACAACACTTAGAAGAGTTGAGAAAGAGTGATCGAGAGATCGACCAAGTCCCTAGTTCATCTAGCCCAGCTTATAAGTTCCAAAGATTTTTCGATGATTGGGGTTACGAAACCCAGGACGACGTCATCAGCTTATATACAGCTTATGAAGTTTCGTGGAGTAGGGAGATATTCCATGTAAGCGGAGAAAAGAAAGGAGGATGAGATGGCTCCCAGTAAAATATAACAATTACCTGGGGGTTAAGTAGACTTTCTGTCGCATAGCTGGCGGAACGCAAGTCCAGGATCGGCGAACGTTTTCCGTTACAGCTACGCCCAAGTCTGGAACAAGCAACTAGCCGGAAACCGTGTCTGCACTCTTAAACCAGAATTCCGCAAAAGCATCAAAAAAGTCATTGACTTTATGCAACGTGATAACACTGTGTTTTTTGTCCCCTAACAACAATCCAAGAGTACGGGCAGGATCCAGGTTACATATCACCCAGTGAAGATGTTTCGCCACCATAAGCTCTCCTGTGTTTTATCATAACTAGTGTGAGAAAGCAGTTAGTCAGACATCATTTCGATTCAGTCAACCCTTTATCATGCATTTGCTATCTTTGCAAACGTCAGTAGCTGATTTGAGTTATAATCTGTCTGATCCACTTGTGGTCAACGTTCTATACAAGTATATACTTACCCGATCATAGTGATACAAGCGCGTGTATAGCATCGTGGAGAATAAAGGTTTACTTTTTTCATTTAATGATTGAATTTTCCAGCTCGTAAATAAGAATGGCATCAGCAGTGTGCCGGCACACTGTATCGACACTTCGCTGCAACGCTACCACCACCAGCAGTCGCGCATAGGCGGTGTATATCGCGAAGTCGCCCGCACCCACACGGGCTTGGACAGGCGATCTCACAATTACAAGAAAAGTGCGGACTGTCCGTCATGACCTCGAAACTCTATCACACATGCTGAGATGAGTTTTAAACACCGATGACCGACGCACATAGACTCATTCCAGATTGACCGGAGAGAAAGTGTCGGCATTGATTATCGTAGCTAACCAAATAAATGAGCCATTGCGAATAGATTCCGAAGAGAGATCTTTTGAAAGTCAAATTCAGCTGACCTCGGCTGTTTGTGGACCACAGCGAGTGTAATCAGTTGTCATCCAATGCTTAGCGAAGCGTTTTCCCGTGCATATTGAGCTTTTTTACAGTTGGCACGCGAGAGTACTGTTGCAGGACCGACTCAACGCAAATTCGGAATTAAAATAATCACTTGAATAGGTTCAGCAACGATGGTCACGTATTCATCGCAATAACAAAGTAAGCAGTACAAATGTTTCGGGTTAGAACAATTCGATTGTTCTGAAGAACACAGCGTAACACCCTTAAGGGAATTCGTCAATGATCCATTGAGCAAGCCTGATCTTGAGTACATGGACGAAACAGGTAATGGAAGTTCAGTGATCCGACCATGGAAAGACGATGAGGAACCCAGTTTCCATGATACAAGGTAGAAAAAGAGATGAGGAGGGGTAGGAAAAACTAATCGGGTTGGAGTGCTGACAGCATCAACAATGAGTCCGCAACTGCGCCATGCCAGCAAATGGGTCTAAACACTGGGGTTGCCAATCACGAGGCCCTTAAAAGCGCGAAGACAACAGGTAGTAATTCAACCAAATCCGTCCGTCAGTTCCTACGAGCTTTCATGCAGCGTAATCGAGTGGCCACCCAGCGATTTCGCTCATCTAGGTGCAGCCGCGGTAACCAATCCACGAGGAAGAAGACGGTTAACGGCCATACGAAGAACATGGCTGAGCCAAGGTGCGTGGTTAATGATCAGTAGCCACTTTTGGGTTTTTTCCCAAACACGAATTGGTGGACTTGAGTATCACACTCACTAGGTGACCTCAGATATGAACAGTACTTTGTAAGTTGCAATGATCAAAGACGACGATGAGACCAAAACGGTTCCACGAAAAGATCTGTCTACCGAAATCCAACGTGGACCGGTCAGTATTAACGTTCTACAAGTTCCTTTCATATCCCAACACAAATGTTCTTTTGTCCAGACAGTTTTATCGGGCCCACATGGTTCGCACCTTAGGCGTTGTAGACGGAAAGATCTGCTGTTCAATGCATCACAATCCAACGGTTTTCCGCTGCAGCTTGTCAAACGCTTTAGTGAAATAACCAAGTGAGACTCAGTGCCAACAGTCCCAAAGAAGCCAATCTTCATTGTACTACCTATCAAAGGTGACTACACTACGACGATTACCAAGAAACTAATAAGTGCTTCAGTAAAAAATCGTACAACGAAGCAGTACCGCGGCAGCTCACGTCGACGAGACCAATGTTTATGTGATCTCTCAAGACACCGATGAGGACGCCGCACATGTCCCACTGTTTGTACAAATTCACCCGTATCTGTGGAGACAGCTATGTTGTGGGCACTGATCGAAGTTCAAGTGTCAGAATCAATTGACGTATTCCTAAAGGGTTACGCAGACGAATGGAATGTGGGACGGCGGACACGGATGAATCGGAAAACTGAACTGCCTCGGCAGTCACCAAGCAGCTGCTAAGTCAATACTCATGAATCGTTCACAATCTTGATACGCGACCAGCAATCCCACAAGTTTAGGCTACTTGAGGCCATCAGTATAGATGGCGAACACCCAACGCTGTGCATCCAAAAACAGCTGTGGCTCCAGGTTTACCCTGGTGGTGCAAGCACTTGACCATATACGATCACATATGGGACTGTTTTGGCCAGCCTATCAATATTGCATAATTGTGGTTGATAAGAATGCATGAAGTGGTGACGTCACCTCACAGCTTAAGCTTCCTAGTTTTTCTGCTTCGAAATGTAAAGGAGATCTCCAGACGACAAAATTGTTAATGTCTTCCGCACACAAAGGCCGTTTTTCTGGTGCGATCTAAATGTAGGGTGGGGTACCCTACGCTTGACTCAAGAATTGTCAATCAACCGTCTCAATATAAGCCATGCTGATGTATGAAATGGCCTCCTCAAAGGTGTCATCACCGAAAAAGATACCATGGTCAAGACAAGTGAACGAATCGGTCAAGTTGATTGGTGGTTATCAGAGACACCTAGAACAAATGGGGTGTCGGCCAAAGTAAACAAGGTTTCTTGCACTTGAGAGTACCTAGGACATGCGGGAGAAC